TCTCTTACAAGATAAAGAAAAAGGAAAAGAACAAGTCGCTCATCGACCCTCACTGGAGCATCACCAATCAATTGCACAGTACCAACACAATGTTCAATTTTAAATTTTTTATTATTTTTTTATTTTTGGTGAATTTGTCACCATTGACTGAAAAATGCTTTACTGCTGCACAAAATGTGCGTCTTCCTTTTGAAAGGTTATAAGTTCTTTTGGGTTGCAAAGTTGGATTCTTTTGTTATGGGCTTTATCTTATCTGTTCCATATGTTCTCTTCCTTATGCATGTTTTTCCTACTGCTTAAGATATGTTTTGCTGTTCTCAATCACAGAACAGTTTCCAGTTTGCAGTCGCAAAGGACAAACTCGTCGAATTCTAATCTATTTGCTTCAGTTACAAGTGCAGGTTTCTCAAGAGTTTATTCTTACACATATTTTACTACAACTTATTAGAATACACTCTATACTAATACTCTCTGATTTTCTCGTGGATCACAATCACAAATGCACAGATGTTCTGCTGGATGATGCTGTTGAACAAGTACAGCTCCCAAAGGGTGACAGTTGGTCCATTCATAAGTTTGGCGGCACTTGTGTTGGAACTTCTGAAAGAATACGAAACGTTGCAAACATTGTTGTTAAGGATGTTTCGGAAAGAAAATTGGTTGTCGTGTCTGCTATGTCAAAGGTGACTGATATGATGTACGATCTGATACGCAAGGCACAGACCAGGGATGATTCTTACGTAAGCGCATTGGATGCTGTTTTGGAGAAACACAAGTCCACGGCACTCGATCTACTTGATGGAGATGAGCTGTCAAATTTCTTGGCTCGATTGCATGAGGACATTAATAACCTTAAGGCAATGCTGCGTGCAATTTATATTGGTATTTTTCTTTTCCTTTTCCTCTGATAATGCCTAAAGGGTAATCCTCATTGCAGTGCATCTGATTTTTATGTGAACTATCTATGGATCTGAGTGTTTGACATCGCGTTTGTAGCCTCTTGCTTACAGAAGAAGAACAAGTCAAAAGTTAGTTATTTGTCTCCTAGTATTTACAGAATATGAAAACGAACAGAAAATGTATATTCTTGCAATTAGAAGAGAAAATAGGTCTAGTGGTCTAGTGGTTCTTTGAATTAAGTTTTGAGTTCTTTGAGGATGCCTGACAAGGTGATTACATCAACTCTTTCAATTTTATTGTGCCAAGGAGCTGCCTTTCCTTTCTTTCTTTTTCCTGTTTGATTTATTTTATATTTTTTTTTTCCTGATCAGTTTCCCCTTAAGGCTGGTTGCATCCTCTACTTTTTGTCCATTATTGAACGCATGAGACATGTCTGTTCAAACCATGCTGCCATTTACATCCTATTTATATGCATACTTTGCTTTTTTGAACTACACATTCCCTTTACTTTCCTGGTAAATGTACTAGAAATGAGCAAAATGCTTAATTTATTGCAGCTGGTCACGCGACCGAATCTTTCTCCGATTTTGTGGTTGGACATGGTGAGCTGTGGTCTGCGCAGTTGCTTTCTGCTGTTGTTAGAAAGGTGCTTTTTATCGTTGAGAAACTTTATGAATTAAATTACATCAGCACGTTCTGCTCACCAAGATCATTTTTGTTTTAAGATTTTTTTTACTTGTCATTGTAGAACGGGGTAGAATGTACTTGCATGGACACAAGGGAGGTCCTTATTGTAAACCCGACGAGTTCTAATCAAGTGGATCCCGATTATCTGGAGTCGAGCCGAAAGCTTGAGAAGTGGTACACCGAAAATAAATCCGACACAATTGTTGCAACGGGGTTTATTGCCAGTACGCCTAAGAATATTCCCACAACTTTAAAGCGTGATGGAAGTGATTTTTCTGCCGCAATTATGGGTGCATTGTTCAGAGCACGTCAAGTCACCATTTGGACTGACGTGGATGGTGTTTACAGTGCAGACCCCCGTAAAGGTTATTTTTCATACTGATTCATTATTGTAACTATTTAAGACATTGTAACTTTCCACCCTTTTTTTTTTCATTTTTTTTTTAAATTGTCTTTGGCAGTTAGTGAAGCTGTGATATTGAAGACATTGTCTTATCAGGAGGCCTGGGAAATGGTAAGTGACTTTCTCAAGTACTGTCTGTTAGTTCATCACTGAGTTTTGTTTTTAATATTGATATTGATTATCAATCACTCGTATTTGTGCAGTCATACTTTGGGGCGAACGTTCTACATCCTCGGACAATTATTCCTGTCATGAAATATGACATTCCAATTGTTATAAGGAATATTTTCAACATTTCTGCGCCGGGGACCACGATATGTCGACCTACTGGTCTCGAGAATGAAGATAACCAGCAAGTAGAGTCTCCAGTCAAAGGATTTGCTACGATTGATAATTTGGCTCTTGTGAATGTTGAAGGGTGGGTTTCAATCATAGAATTATGATAATTCATGAACTGCTAAGTCAATTTTTTGACGTATCTTACATTATGGTGATTGTTGTTAATGGAAAATATTTTTTGCAGAACTGGAATGGCCGGTGTTCCTGGTACTGCTAGCGCCATTTTTGGTGCTGTGAAAGATGTCGGAGCTAATGTAATCATGATATCCCAGGTACTTCTACTCTCTCTCTCTCTCTCTCTCTCTCTCTCTCTCTCTCTTTCTCTCCCTTAATGCAAAATGTGAAGTCTCACTCTGGATCTTATCGATTAATTTAACACAGGCCAGTAGTGAACATTCTGTGTGTTTTGCTGTACCTGAAGACGAAGTAAAAGCTGTAGCTGCAGCTTTAGAGTCTAGATTTCGTCAGGCGCTGGATGCTGGTCGTCTTTCTCAGGTACTTTTGCTTTTCCCGAGTGTATGAACGAATACGAAAAGATTAATGCTGAAGTTGCAGTTATCTCCAATTGCATCCGAATCAATATTACCCGATTTTACATTAATTTCTTGATGATGTGGGGCTTTTACAGATTGCAGTTATTCCCAATTGTAGCATTTTGGCAGCGGTTGGCCAGAAAATGGCGAGTACCCCTGGAGTTAGTGCGACACTTTTCAATGCACTTGCTAAGGTTCGAAAACTTGCAGATTTTTTTATTTTGTGTATGCATGCATGCATGTGTGTTTCTTTCTATCCTCGTCTTTGCCAATAATAACATAAAATAAAAGTACGATTACCAACGGTATTGATCAGGTGTATATAGATTCTTACCCATGCCCTTTGCAGGCTAATATAAATATACGTGCTATAGCTCAAGGCTGCTCTGAATACAATGTCACTGTGGTTCTCAAGCGAGAAGATTGCATAAAAGCATTAAGAGCAGTGCACTCGAGATTTTATCTATCAAGGACTACTATAGCAATGGGCATTATCGGGCCTGGGTTGATTGGTGGAACATTGCTGGATCAGCTCAGAGATCAGGTTTTTAAGAAAGAAATTCCTTTTAATTAATTAGAGTTAACATTTGAATATTTAGACTGTCAAGTTTGTGTGGTAGCATAGAGAATATATAAATCGTTTATACATTTCATTGACTGTGTAGGCAGCAGTCCTCAAGGAAAACTTCAACATTGATCTCCGGGTGATGGGTATTACAGGATCAAAGACTATGCTCTTGAGTGATACGTAAGTTCGATAAATTTTAGGGTTGTCGTCGTTCATTAAATAATGATTCAACTTCCAACAATTTCAAGTTCATATCAAGTTTCTATAATTATTAACTGTATCATCTCATGTTGCTGTGAAAGTCATATTTAGTTACCTGGGAGTTGGGAATGTAGTTTGAGTGCCATATATATTATAATAAAAAAAGTAACCTCAACGTTTTAGATTCATTTCGGCATTTCCTATTAAGTACTCTTCTTTGTCCGCCTTCTTTATAATAATAATATGGCCACCCGCGGCTGAGATATACCAGTTCTTTTATCATGGAGATTTTTTCGATTAGGAACATCACCCTTCCCAATCTAAATAAATCTGCTCGACTTTTTTTTTTTTTTTTTCCTAGGGGCATTGACTTGTCAGAATGGAGAGATCTCCAAAAGGTGAAAGGGGAAAAGGCGGACATGCAGAAGTTTGTTCAGCATGTGCACAGGAATCATTTTATTCCGAATACAGCTATAGTGGATTGCACTGCCGACTCGTTAATCGCAAGCCATTACCATGACTGGTTGCGTCGGGGGATTCATGTGATTACCCCGAATAAGAAAGCCAATTCAGGACCACTTGACCAGGTAATAAATAATACTCTAATACTGCTGCAGCTACAACTTTTTGGTTGGTGAATTCTGCAATTTAGACATTTTTTTTTTAAATGAATTTGTCCAACAATTCTATTTCCTTTAAGATTGATGTTTTTTATTTTTTAGTTTTATGCAATTTGTAACTTCTTTTAATTCCTCTGAAATGTAGTATTTGAAGTTGAGGACTCTTCAGAGACAATCGTATACCCATTACTTTTATGAAGCAACTGTTGGTGCCGGTTTACCAATCATTACCACCTTGCAAGGCCTCCTTGAAACTGGGGATAAAATACTGCGAGTTGAAGGCATTTTTAGGTTTGTTTTGTTATATTGTGAATATTTCTAGTTCTGATATAAAAAATAAAAATAAAAAATAAAATTATTGTTGAGGGTTTAATGTAGGTCGTAAATTTATTAGCAGGGATTGCAAAGATGCTCTGTTTACTGACTAATAGTTATAATGTGTTCGTGCAGTGGAACCTTAAGTTACATATTTAACAACTTTGTGGGTGCCCGGACTTTTAGTGAAGTGGTGAAGGAGGCAAAAGAGGCAGGTTACACTGAACCAGACCCCAGGGATGATTTATCTGGAACTGATGTGGCTAGGAAGGTATGACCTGTCTTTTTTTTTTGGATAATATCTGTTCTAAATATGATTGTCATGTTTATCTTCGTGTCGTCTTCTGCAAAATTCGTTTGAAGGGGGAAATTCTTTAACTGTAAGCAAGCGACACAAACGTTTCTCAAAAAAAGGAGCAGTGCCTTTAATTTTCTGTCACTGCTTCTCGTGTTCTTTTATAAACAAACTTTTAGCTTTGATTTGCAGACGCTCCCTAAGTCTGATTTCATTTGAATAAACACTTGTTCTGAAATAAACTTATGTGAAATTCCCCCCTAATGTATCTCTTTTTTCCTTTATTATTATTATTATTATTATTATTATTATTATTATTATTATTATTATTATTATTATTATTATTATTATTATTATTAT